TCGACTACCTATAGTCCACTAGGTTTCGGCTCGAAAGCGATCGGACAGTTGAGGACCTTCCCTCGTGAGTCAGAAATTGGATTTGATGATCATTGGGAACCTATAGTTTTTGCTCTAGGATTACTTAACCCTACTACTGCTCGTCATCCGCAATTTTTATTTCAACAATGAAATGAAAAACTATTAAAGAAGTCACATTTGTAGAGCTTGTCTTCCTCTACATTTTGCATGAACTGAATTCTTTTTAAACGTAGAAACGAAAAATTTTTTCGTACTACTTTCGATACAAGATTGGTGATTCTTCTGAAAGTGTAGAGTTTACATCAACTTTATCCAAACAGATCGACAGTACTAGGACTAGTACAACTCGAGCTCCTGATGACGAATATCACGTTTAAGAGATTTTAAAACAGGCATGGTAGCCTTCTAGACCTGTGGGGATCCCATTTCCCAGCAGAACAGACCTTTTCTGGGTATTTTCATCACTTTTTAGCGAAGCACTTTCATGACCTGAGTACCGTGGGATTAGAATCTATATGTGCAGCGCTGCAAAATCCCTAACGGACAAAAAGGTCCGAAATGTTAAGTACGTTCTCAGGAGATTTTTTAAAGCGATCGTTTTTTCCAAAAAGTAGACCTTTTTTGTAAACCATATTTTATTGATCTTTTTCCATGAGTTGATAGCCCGGAGTGTTCTCTTCAAAACGGGAGTCAGGCGACATTTTGATTTTCAGCGATTTGGATATGATATTGTTATTCCTTGGAGTCCTAGAACTAGTGCCTCCTGGCTATTGGTAACCTCAGAAACGAGTGGATTATAGATAACCAAACATGCTGAGTTTTGTGGTAATATTTTTTTTTAGAAGAAGATTTTAAAAACTAACGAAAGCCACGTTTTCCGAAAATTATGATTTTCGACCTGTTTCACCTAATATTAAAACACTCAATATTCATTCAAAACACACCAGAAACCCTTCAAATTTTCAGGATGTACAGTATTTTGACTATTTTATATTCTACTTATGAGAAATCTACAAAAGTTAATTTAAAGAACCCCTGTTTTTCCGAAAGAATCTCTACAATTTGTTCGATCGTATAATCAGGTTTAGCGGACAAAATTAACCATATCTTTAAGTTGTGAACTGGTTCTAGTATTGTTTGAACGGATATTGATTTTTTTAATATTAGATGTAAGTCCTATCCTATTTGACTGAATTGAATGTTTTTGTGCTAAAGAACTGTATCGACTTCTCTATTAGTTTTCATTCATCATCTGGTACTACCCATTGATTTTCGAGTCATTTCATGTTTATAAGTTTCTGTTTCCGTTCTTCCTTGATTCTTTAAAAATTCATGAAGTAGAGTTACACAAAATAGTTCTAGTTAAGAAATGGACGAAAAGCGGCTTTAAGACGACTTCCACGGTTTAAAGACCTATATTGATTTGCATTCGGCGGTATGTTGACCACAAGATTTTATTTTCTACAGAATGCTTAAAATTGTGAAGGATCGTGATGGTAATGATGCAATCTGTCGACAGATCCTTACTCAAGTGAATAATTTTCTTTTGTATTCAATGCGTAGAAGCGTTCGAGATCATCTGATCATGCGAAACTGGAAAAGACATGCACCGGTATTCAATATCGATCAATTCTGGTATTTTATTTTAGCAAAAACTAACAGAACACAAACATTTCATAGCTCTTACCAAAAGATCCGTTAAAATAGGATAGCTCGCAAAGAGCCCGTAACGAATCAACGCTGGCAGCGCTTAATAATTTTAGGTTGAAATGGTTAAATAAAACATCATGCACATATGTTACATTATGAACACAAATTTGTTTATTCGAAAAATATCAGTTAGATCCAGTATAGTTAAAAGGTCTACAAAAGATAATGCGAAATATCATCCAAATATTATTCTGTTGAAAAATAAGACCCTATCTGATGATGCAATTTCTGTCAGTGTACGAAATGTTTGTCAAATAAACGTATTAGTGTGATTGTACCGGTTCGAAAAAATTCTGTGTTACTTCCCTTCCATTGCGTAGGTTTGTTAAATTACATCATAAGTTTGAAAAGAAAACATTTTAAGAAGGAACTAAATTTCAGACGAAATCACATCTCACTCTTTGCCGAATGAATTCTAACCACACATCATAATAATTTATGTCTTATTATTCATTCATTATATATTATAAGTTGTATATTATTAAGTTGCAAACGGCAATGTGTATATGTAATACTCATTCTGATATGAATCATTGGAATAACCACTAACCATGCATCGGTGTTCCAACAAACAGTTACTTTGACACATTTAAAGAATGTCGTTTAAAGTGCAGTTGTTTTGATCAAAAATGTAACTTGATGTAAAATTGAAATTGTTCTGACTTGTCGAATTCATGTATATTTTATGACGAATGTAATTACGACGAACTGTTCTTTTATAATCTTCTTTACTTCTCTCTTTTACAAATGTCTAACAATATGTTTTAATGATCACGACGACGATTTAAAAGAACGAGAGTTATTTACACCTGATAAAAAATTCTTACACTATGGTTCACAGTGGGCAACGATGCGTGCATTTGAAAAAAATAGGAAATGAAATTTTCCATATTCAACCATGTGTTTCCAGACGTCACTTGTGCTCCTATAAATTGTTCTAAAAGATTCAAGTTCAGTCAGAGCGATGTTGAAAAATACTCGAAGTACAGTATAGTGAGAATTCGCCTGGATAAAGAATAAGAAATTTAATGTGAGAATGAAATAGAATACAGTCTCTTAAAGGCTCGTATTCTTGAATTCAAGGCCCTCCGGTAATGCATTGATGAGAAAATTTCTTGATTTTCTCTCGGAAAATTTAAGAGGAAACTATTTTTCATGGTAACGTTTCTATTAAAATGATAGCGTCTGGTGTAATAAGTTCCTGCGCAGTCGATCTCAGTTAAACATTGTCCAAATATTTTTCTATGTCTATTATATCAAAACACGATGTGTAAATCCTTCTGGATCTTACAATAGGTTCTCTATATAAAATCCATTTCTATTCGGTTAAAATCTGTTTTTAATTAAAATATACTTGATATTTGGAATCCGCTTACAAAATTGAATCGAAACATCTATAAAATAAGATCTGAATAAAGAAAAATTACAATTAATATCTTAATTTTTAAAGTAAAGTAATTTATGTGGTCTTTCGAAGTTTTTAGAAAAACCTGTGTGAAAATTTCGGACATTTTCATCGAATCCACTGTATGCCTGCAGGTGTACCAACGCGTAATGCAGCGAAAATAGAATATATTTTGAACTACTTTGAACCGATTTTGAATGAGTTATAAATTTTTGAGTTTTGAGTGAAGAGAGTCAAAACTAAAGTCTTTTATGTCATATAGATATAGACCATAATAGGCTCTCGAATTTTTTAATGATGAAGATATTCTCCAACTCTTGATTACTGACTGGGTCATTTTCATCAAAATGATCTATTCATTTTGAAATGCATAATAGTTCATAGTAGCTTAACTATTCCATAAATCATTGATTTGGAGTGTTGCATAGAACTTGTACCAATCTAAATGTTTAATATTTAAATTACCGTGAAAAATTACATTGAGTGATTTTGATAGTAATCGTTGATTTGTTGAAAAAAGAAATGAATGAAATTATATATGCCTTAGCATGAATCAATACTATTATTGCTATCATATTGAAAACAGCAATGGAATCGCAGGAAACGTTTTGTCGAACATAGCATTACTATGTCGATTAGCGTTTATGGTCATGCCGTTTGTTGTAGTTGAAAGTCATCTCCGATTTATAGTTGTTTTAGAGCCGGCTCTTGATGTTAAACCATTAGGACTATTCGATATCTACAGTTGCAGTCGCTCTTGAGTTCATGACACAGAAATTAGATCGTCGCATTTTCGCTATCGGTGTTATACTGCCCATGTTGATTTATGACTGTTATAACACATGATGCTAACTTATTAGCCATACTCTTTCGTTTGTAGTATTTTGTGCGTTCCGACGAATATGGTAAAACGCCATATTGTTTATGTGTTACTACTACTGCAAAGGTAAAACATTTTACAGTAAACGAGAAATTAGACGTTTTCTGCTAGACGTAACTAATGTTTCACACTAGGTGAATGTCAAACAAACGAACTTTTTTCCACAATAAATCACATTGTAGAATCATGGAGAAGTTTGATGTACAGTGTGACAGGATAATCATTTTCATAATCTTGATCAATTAAAGAGGACCGTGGCTTATTTATTTACATTTTTTAATGATTTTCTTTGCATTAGAGCGTTTGAAATTTCTTTGTCCTGTACTCTTTTAAGCAGAGACATCTACGCAACGGTACGTTTGAGTCATAATGTCTCAAATAAAAAAATGAGGTAGTACATGTTCGAAATTCTTTTGCTATTATGCAGAGTTGAAGTTAACCTTTGAAGGAGTGTACTTTAAAACCAAGTCATAACGGACTCGACCGTATTATCGGTTTTAAGACTAATTATAGCATAGTTTTTATGAGTTGGAAAAACGAAAAAAAGTGAATATTATAAATGGTACAGATGGGACATTATGCCTGAAACCTTTAGGTGAGAATAGATCCCGCTACATTCGAATCCGAAACGTTTGCTGCTACATTGTACGAGAATTAGTTCTGGAACTTGTTCAGCTAAGACCATTCCACTTTCTTCTATTCAAGCATGGACAGGGTTAACTCGCACCGCACTAATTTTTATTCTCCTACTAAGAACACACTGTATAAAACAACATTATTTTTTGACAAAAATAAATAGAAAAATAAATAAGAAATTTAACACATTATGTTTATATCTATAAAAAATCACTCGGATAAATATTTCCTATAATAAAATAATTTTTACGATTTCACATTGGATAATGTACTTTCAAATAATAAAACTTTTTATCTGACAAAAAAAAAATACAAAAAAAGAGTATCGGACGGTAACAAATCTTGTTTTTATTTGTCTACACGATATAAACTTTTTGATGGTCGAGAACTGCTATTTTGTTGTTGTTCGATAGCCGTTGCTGTTACAAGTTCTTCTTTTAATTTTAATTGACATATATTTTTTAATTTTAATGATTCAACTACTTCATTATCGTGTGCCAAACGAACAGATATACAGCGAGCTAATGGTCCGTGCTTTTTCTGTTCAAAACGACATATTATTCTAAACATAAGCACACAAATCAAACGATGAACCAAGATGATCAAAATAGCAGTTTGATATAAGTGTATAAACTCTCCGAAATCTGATAAAATGCCAATATAAAGATTTTCAAGCATTCTCAAGTATTTCTTCATTTTATACGATCTAGCGGAAAGCATTATATTCTTTGACTAACTTCATTGATAACATTTTTTAAGTGCAAATAAATAATAACATCTACACTTCAACTCATTACGACAGTATAAACTGACTAACCTTATTTGTAAATCTCTTCCAGCTGGTACAAATGATCGATCCATTTCGGCAAATAGACACCGTATTCGATCGGCTTTATCTTGCAAATAAAATTCTTTAATATAGAGATTATCTTTAATATTTGTCACCTGAGATGCAAGTGTACCTGTAGTAACAAAACATTGTACATTAATTATTTATCAAACAGAATAAATGGACTATAATTTTCTCTTACCATAAATTTCAAATATAATCGGAAAACTAAATTTTTGTTGTGACCAATATTTCATACCTTGGATTGATGTTGTTATCACACGGAGTGAATTATCTTGTGAACCAACAAATTTCTAAAAAGTGAAAAATGCGTGCCTTAATAAACAAGCTACTCGAAAAAAGAGTTAACTTATCATATCAAAGAAATATTGTTTGTTAATTATTAACTGTTCTGATTGAAACTCAAAGAACTTAGAATTGAATTCATTATTTATCATACTGCATTACCGCAATGAAATTTTTACAAAAGAACGAGATATTTTCCTTTTGTGCAGAAATAAACACTAATAAGAAGTGATTATGCTTTATTTCACTGATCTGTGACTGTTGAAATATCTTGAAAATAAATTTGGCAATGTTTGAATGAACTGTTAGTTAATTGCATGATTGTATCTAATGGATCCTGCCGTTATAGTGTGTTGCTGCTATACCGATGTTCGCTCAAATTTTACCAGAACCTGACTCCCTTAGAATCACAGAATATATGGACAGTTTAGACTTTATCAATAAGGTATCTTTAAAGAGTGCTTCAATTAGTTTATTTGACAAGAAGAAGGAAAGTTGTTTAATTACCGTTTCACGTATGTCGTGTCGTTTTCGTTTCTGTGATGGTAATGACGGATGAACAGCTGTTGGCACATTATATTCCATTGTCGAATTAGTCCAATTATTAGGTGATGGTGCATTAATAGTATTCTGAATTTGACGTCTTTGAGTTTGTTGACGATTATTAGATGTCATGGCCGGTACAACACGATCACTGCCTAATGTTGTTTGTAGATGATCTGACAATGGTGGAGGTGCGTGATCAGTACTGACTGTTCGTTGAGATTTCAGCATTGTTGACGGAATAGAAAACGACGACGATGATGTTCCTTGGGGCATTTTATTTAACGATTCGAAACGAGGTGACTTATACATCCTTTCTAAAAAAGCAAAAAACCGTCTCTTATTAAATTTTCTGACCAAAATAATTGATCTACTAGAGCTTTAGAAATACATATTCAAAGCACAAACAAAATAGCAGAAATATTTACCCTGAGTGAGTTTAAATCAGTAAAAGAACAGTCGTGAATCTAAAATGAACAATGGGTGACTTGTAATACTAGCGAGTACATGAGTTCGAAAACAAATACGACGCTGAGACTTTACTCTACGACTCAACATATCAAATCTCGACAATAACAAGTTCGAACGAATCCATAAACCTAATTAGATTGTCAGTATGTGCCTAAGTGGGTAAGATCGAAAAAAAAGAGAATTTCAGCTTCATATAGTGTAAGACACTAAGATACAATACAGTCTTAGTTCATTTTTCTGAATTTGTATGTAGTAGAAAAAAATCATTTAAAATTAGTTCCACTCTCCATATAGAACAAGATAATAAAATTGTCTGAAGTATATTTCTATATTTAGGGCAATTCCGCACGAATATAAAACGCTAACTATGTCATTTTGGGTTCGTCTTAGAAACAGTGATGTGAACCATATAGTTCTTAGAATCATATGGTACTGCTAAAAGTCTTCTATAAACTTTTTTTACATTTTCGGATACTTCGTTTTTCAGCGTTGAAAGAAGCTACCTGTCAAAGATGGCCGCCGATTTTCAAAAGAAAGCAAAAAAGGTGACTCGTATTGACTAAACTGATCAATCAGTTTCTTCGACAAGATGCCGCCTATATATGCCTGGCATAATCCTTTTTCAACAGAGACCTGGTTGACATTTGAACTGCGAGGTGGTTTATTACTAGAAACAAATACCTAAAGTTGAGAAATTTTCATTATTTGGTCGGCTATATTTGGTCTCTGCGCACTCTTTCTTCTGGCAGCTAGCTTTCAACTGCTGAAGTTACCTGCTATTGGCAGCTAACTTCTTACAACTGTTTTTCAGAAATACAATTTTTTTATACATATGGATTAGATTAGAGTGGAGAAAAAGAAACGAGGTTCAATATCGAATAAACTGTCAACAGAAGCATAAATAAAAGAATACAAAATAGAATAATGAAACTAATAAATAAATAAATAAAATATTCAAGGGTTGTTTCCCGCTAGCCGTCAATTTTTCCCGTCAAAAATGGCCGCCGTCACACATATAAAAAAGGAAAAGAACAAATTTGATTCATCAATTTTTTGAAATCCAGTTCGTAGACAAATCAATCAATTAAAACAGACTAATCGGTCCGCAATTGATAGGTTGACTACGTCTGTCGCTAAAGTATCATCTTTTCTCATTGGTTTGTAATATATTTCAGTGAAAAAATATATCGACACTCGTTTTTTCCTTTTCTGTTAAGAATTTCTGTTTTATATGTTTTATATGATAACATATATATCTGTTCAGATATTGCGTGGTCAATAGAAGGGGATATACTGTTTCTGTTCTATAAAGAAAAAAAATTTCTCTTCCTTTCTTGCGGTCCAAAAAAAAAATAAATGGTTATGATCCATAGAATATTAGATATAATATGAAAGAACCAATCACAAGGTTGATAAATATATCTGTTATAGTCTCGTTTTTAGGTCAAAATCAATCTAATCCTTTTAATTCCCACAGTTTTATGGCTTAAAACAGCCTGATTGCTCTTTTATTTCAAAAATTTCTTTATTTCGGCAGCCATTTTGTCATTTTTACATAGTTTTGGATCTGACGGCTAGCCTTTTTCAAAATTCCTGCTAGCCGTCAATTGACGGCTATTTTTGACGGCTAGCGGGGGTGGTCCCTAAAAAAAGGAAAAAAGGAAAGGAAAGGAATATTTTTATCATTGGTCAACCAATAAGTAGCAAGTGCAAGTAAAGCAAAGATGCATTTTAAGTGCATAAGTGCCCCAGTTATACTTGCTGCTTATTGGCTGACCAATGATAAAAATATTCCTTTCCTTTCCTTTTTTCCTTTTTTTAGGGACCACCCTAGCGGGAAACAACCATATTCAAGACTAGTATATCGGATAAAATCAGGAAGCTAATATGATTGGTTAAGACTTGACCAATAAAAAATCAGATCTGTAATTTGTTGGTGGCGAACCGATAACCAGAAGCCAGATGGTTGTCACTAACCACAGTTAAGTAATTTTCAAAAATGTGTCTAAAAGTTTTTATGAACTTAGCAAGTTTGAAAATACTATAGATCCTATTTATCTTACGTAGATAGTACACATGACAGTCGTTATCAGAGTATATAAGTCTTCATCGATACTATAATCATTAATGTACAGGATTATGAAATTACTGACATCTACGTCAAACATTTCCTGTTAGACGTAACTAATGTTTTATATTAAGTAAATGTCAAACAAACGAACTTTTTTCCACAATAAATCACATTGTAGAATCATGGAGAAGTTTGACGTGCAGTGTGACAGGATAATTATTTTCACAATCTTAACCAATCAACATTACCACGGCTTATTTACTTATATTTTTTAATTTATTTTTCGTCGGTTTTTTGTAAGCATTCGGTTGATATTATTACTAAGTTGGCCACCTTTTCTGAATACCGGGCGTAGCGAAACAATTTTTCTGTTAATTTCTTTTAAAGAACGTAAACCAAGCCGTAATCGACTTAGCTAAGTTTCGAAAACTTGTCGAATGTTAGTTAAACGACCAAGGATTTATTGAGGATAAGAAATACGGATGTTTGTCTATAGGACAGTCTACGTGTAAAACTAACATGGTTGACAATATCGAAATGTTTCCACTTTTATTTTAGATTCACTTTCTCTCTCTCTCTAACATTATAAATTAAATCAATTACAACAACGATGCAACCTGAAGGTGTCGAGACCCAAGTAGAATTGTACATCCCAAGAAAATGCTCAGCATCGAACACGATTATTGCTGCTAAAGATCATGCAGCCATTCAAATTGACATAGCCGATGTTGATGAACAAACTGGTCGTGTTACAGGAAAATCGAGAACATACGCTATTTGTGGATCAATTCGAATGATGGGTAAATTCTTCTTTTCCTTTAAGTTCACTCTTTCATTACTCTCTTTTCTTTGTTTAGGTGAATCGGATGATTCCATTACGCGTATGGCACTAAGAGACGGTTTATTAGCAAAAAACTTCAGTGCAAATGACAACAAATGAGAAAGAAAATCAATGGCGTTATCAAGTATCAAAAGCATTCAAATGTTTTGTTTCTTTATATTTTAATTGTTACTGTTACTTGAAGCCGTTTTGTTGAATTTACTATAAAAAGCAGAAGTGCCATCTAGAAAATATTTGGCTTTATAATATAATTCAAAACTAAAATTAACTAGACACTAAGATTTGTTTTTCCTCAGAGTATCTATGCAGTTACTTTGATTTTGAGGAGATTTTTGAACTCATAATAGTTTTGAGAGAGAAAAAAACATCCATGTCGCCGGTTAAATATAAAACTGTCAGTTAGCCACGGTTGCTGCACAGATTTTCGATACCATGGTTGGGAAAAAAACTGCCATTTTTTACTGGGTTATTCAGGAAAACAGATGATTAAACGTTTTTTTTCCAATCAGCATTTTGTTGTGGAGTCATCATATGTTTATAAGAACAAGATATTATCAAAAAACTTCTCAAAGGAATTGTTTCCTTTCCCTGTTGAAACATAATCTTTCTGACAAATGTCCGAGAGTATGGGCTGATAAGATAATGCTCTCCAGTTTCAAACTTTACCAGTATAGTACAGCAGTTAACAGGCGGCTTTACTCTTATGGAAGAGGTTAAAGGTCAAAACTTGAAAGAAATATGAAAAACCTAAAAGAAAGTCTTAAAAGTAAGATTTCTACCGTTATCATTTACTCATCGGAAAAAACCGCCAATCAAACGCTGTTAACCGAAACAGTCCTAGCGGCTCTGCGGCTAACTGAACGATCTATGCCGGTTCGATAAGCATGGGCAATGATCAACAAAGGATATAATAAGTTTTATTCCTGTAATGTGAGCTAGATCTGTGGAGAAATTTAATCAAAATGTCTTGCAGTTTGGCGGTAGATGCAGTTCTATTCGTTTATTCTTTTGCTTTTTCTAAAATCTGTTTATAAATAACAGCATAATATACAAATCAAAATTTTTGTCATAGCGTTCTTTCGACTGTCTATTTCTTAAATAAGAAACACTCAATTTTGGATGCTCTAAAATCATAATTTACTTTTTTTCCTTTTTTTAACGTGACTGATCGCTCAAATTCTAAGGTATATGAAGTTTTCGACAAATGCTGAAAAACAAATCATTTAAAGTATGACAGATTGGTTCTCATTTTGACAAGTAGAACCAATAAACAATCCACAATCACACAGAGATAGATGTACCTTGATTATTAGCTTAAACTATCGGTTTATCTAGACGTGTTCATGGACGTTGAGACTTTTTGATTGTTCACCCATTTCCAAGGTGAGCAATAGTCGCGGGATACCAGTTCTGGGACTCCAAGAAAACTCGATATCATACTCAAACCGCTGAAAATCAAGATCTCGCATGACTCTCATTTTAAAGAGAAATCGGGGCTATCAACCTATGAAAAAAAATCAATATAATAATCCTATTAAAGGTTATAAAAGGGGCTTTCAAAAGAACCTCTAGAAAATCTATTTTAAAAACCCTTCTGAAAAGATCCCTAGTTATGGAAACATGCCTCTAGGCCTTCTCTTTCGAGCGGTAAAAACCGCAAGTCTCTATCTCATCCATGAGCCTTATATTTTGAAATGGATAGTAGATCATTTTTTGCATGCAAGATGCATAGGTATCCGCCATCAAAGTAAACTTCTCATATCAATCATATCTATTTTGATACGTATACAGTATTTGAGAGGTTGAATCGCTTGATCGGAAGAAAAATTCGTATAGTAACAAGTAGTATTTTGAATATACCAAGTTATACACCATCTAACGATTTCTAGAAATACCTTACGCTTAGTGCACATTGTGTAATCAACATGA